CCTCTCGCTCTTTCACAGCCCCGTACCTGAGGACCAGAGCGTCTCTCGTCAGCAGGGCCTCGCGCCTGCAGGTGACTGAAGTGTGCTTTTATATACAGGCGAGAGAGAGTGCACAAGAATCGTTAGAAGTCGACACCGTTCGTTACAGATGGATGATGTCCAAGGTCACCCAGAAATAGAGCACAACAGGTCACTCAGAAGAAAGGTATTTTTAATTTTTCACCGGCGTATGGATCTACCAAGTACAGAAGCCAGACAAAAAACATTGAAATGCAATTTGAAATTCACACTGACGTGTTGAGAACTGTTCCTTAGAAGCGTTTGATCTGTGTTCAGATCTTCTGCTAAGGAGATGTGGTCAGGAAAGGCAGAGACGCCTTCTCTCGTCTGACCGTTGTCTGCAAACCCTGAGGTGTCCTGCGGTCTTTATAATCTATAACCATACTTTCCCCTGTGGACATTAAATCATCTGTTGCAGCAGGATGCCGATTGATTTGAAAGGCAGCTTTATCTCCACAGCATGAGAGAGAGGCCAACATCAGTCTGGCTGGAGGTCTGGTGAAAGGAAAGCTTTGAATTTAGAGAATTAAAAATGATTTTTGTAGATTTTAAAACTAAGGGATTGAGTAGAACTAAGTTATTATTTTATTTCAGTTAGACTATTAGGAACAGTTATTTTACAAAACCCGAACATTGTTCTGTGTTTTGGTTTACTCGAGATTTAACGCAAGATGGAGTTCTCAGCAGGTGTGGAACGTGTTCAGTGTCCTGCAGGAGTTCTCGGGCGGTGTGGAACGTGTTCACTGTCCTGCAGGAGTTCTCGGGCGGTGTGGAATGTGTTCACTGTCCTGCAGTCCAGGCTCTCACTACGGAGCTCGCCAGTTTGACGTCTTGAGCGATTTTCCTCAGCCTCTGGTTTCTCTCCCTCACGATCCTGCGCTCCTCCGGCAGCAGTTTCTTGTTGTTGGCGATCTTGGCGAGGATCTCGGCATGCTGTTTCATCTTGCGCAGGTCGGCAATGCGGTCCTCGAAGCCCGGGCGGGCCTCCTCTTCCTCGTTGCGGATGAGCAGCTCGATGTAGGCGGCCGTGGACAGAGCGTTGGGCTTCAGGGCGATCTCCTCCAGCCGCGCCAGGCAGTTGGAGGACAGCCTGATCAGCTGCATGATCCGGTCCTCGATCGTCTCGAAGTCCATTTCGATTTTCTCGAGCATCTCCTTCGTCGACATCAACTTGCCGGAAGCCTTCACAAAGTTGTCCTTGAGTTCTTTGACTGTTTTCATGACCTTCACCACTTCGTACTCCCACATCGTCATCTCGGATATGTGAGCGGAGTAGTGGCAGTTACCTGGACAGATCACACAGAATCCAGCGTCATCCATGACGGCGCAGAGATTGATTTCTCCTGGCGTGGGAAGGAAACATCCTGAATGGCACGAAACCAGACAGTTGTTGCAGTTTGTTGAGAGATGCTCGGTGTTCCTCCGTTTCGGGACCAGCTCCTCGATTTCTGTCTCGAAGTTCTTGTTCTGCTCCATGTTGGCCTGCTCGTTTTCCAGACATGCCCTGATCTTCATTTCGCTCAGCTTCGCCAGCCCGGCCGAGATCTGAGGCAGCAGGCTCGCCATCGCCATCTCCAGCCCCTCGCGCTCCTCCAGGACTTTCTTCGTCAGCGCCAAGTCCTTCCCCTCTGTCTTCTCCAACGTTTGGAAAAACCTCTTCAGCTGCTTCACGTTGTTCGTCCAGACAATTTTCTCCAGCTTGTTGTCATCCTCTTCCTCGTCGTCACTCCCGGAGCCCTCCCCGTTGGAATCGGTGTCGGGCCTCTCGTTTTGCGTGTAAAGGGCGGAGTTGTTAAATTCGAAGTGCGTCGCTTTGCCCTTCCGGTTCTTGCGGCAGGGCAGGCCCGCGGCTTCGATGGTGCCCAGGATGGGGATGTCCTTCCCGTCCACAAACGTGACGAGGACGAGGATGTTCTCGGCGATGTCCTTCCCGAAGATGGAGAGGATGGAGTCGAAGACGTACTGCTGGATGGAGGTCAGCCGCGCCAGAGACGCCTGAACCACGAAGCACACGGCGTCGATGTGGTCCACACTGCCGGGGCTGGTAAAGAAGCGCTTCACCTGCTCTATGATCAGCTTGTCCCGAGAGAGTCCCCCCGTGTCTCCGAACCCCGGGGTGTCGATGACCGTGAGGGAGTAGGGGACGACAAATCCCTTCTGGTTGTGGAGCTCGTAGGACGTCACGATGGAGGTTTGACTCTCCGCCTGCGAGTGGTTGGTCTCCTTGTGGATCAGCTTGAATCGAAACCGGTCCTCCCACTGCACGCCCAGGATGTAATTGATCATCGTGTTGATGAGGGTGGTCTTCCCTGCCCCCGTGGCCCCCAGAAGGATGATGACCTTATTGTTCCCTTCTACTTTTCTGCCTGTATAAGGAAAAAAGTTTAGGAAGTGGTCGCTCTGTACTTTAACACGACTGACGTCCCCTGACTTGACTCTGC